AATAATTTTTCGCCACGTACGTGAAATGAAATTGAATCTCTAAATGTATTATGGTAACAGTGTATATATTTCAAACATAAAAAGTTAGTTATATAAGTCTTTTGTTTTAACCCAGTTGTTAACCTTTCTATCCGTGGTCTAATTTTGTGTTGTGCAAATCGCCTTGATAGACCCCTAGGCGTATGTAATAAATCAGCAAAACCATATATTTTCCTTTTCCTTCCAGTACAAAAAAAATAAAAAAAAATAAAAAAAAAAGAAATAATAAAAAAAAATAAAAAAAATAAAAAAAATTAAATAAAAATAAAATAAAAAAAAATAAAAAAAAAATTAATGTAGGTACGTACTTATATGTAAGTCAATAGAAGTTAAGATTTTATTGTTACGGATTCTCTCTATAACAATTATTTAAAAAATTAATTAATAACTCAAAACATAATAGGCTAATGGACTATGTCTCTAGTCATAAAATAAAACAACACACACACACACACATACGTGCTTGGCGGAGGAAGGCGATGGATAGGGACGAATGGAAAAAAATACTTGGGGAGGCTAGGATCCACATAGGGTTGTAAAGCCAAAATAATGATGATGACCTCACACAATAATTGTAAACTTTCAGATATATTATTCTTTAAACTGCAAATTATAAAAGAAAAAAAGACAGGAGAGTGCAATATGGTTAACACAGATTTGTTGTTCTTCAATACCAGAGTTAACCTAGTTAGCTATTTAGAAGCTATAAGAAATGGCGGTACCTAAACTGATAGTGCACTATGTTTCACACTTAAATGCTCATCGATGGAAAAACTATTTTTACATGTTTTTATTCATCTTAGCATTCAGCGAGTAGGGAATGAATATTTTACTTTTTAAATCTCTATTTTTAATTTTCGACCGAAAATTGCTAGCGGGAATTAAATACCGTTAAAAAAACAGTGACCATATGAGATAAGCTGGTCCCTCATTAGGCGTGTTCTCAGGCGGCGGATAGGGGAAAGCCTCCAAGATTTGGATGATATCTAGGAGGCATTTCAAAGACAGATTAATTAATAGTTAGTAAACAACTGCATAAAGAAGAGAGTAAAAATAGCAAAATGGAAGGTCAAACATCATATAAGTAAGGCAGATAAACTGGCTACCGCAGAAGCGGAAATGGCACCAATTAAATGGAATATACTGGAAAGAAGGTAAGTAAGATCTATAAAAGAGATTGTCATTACTACCGATAAAGGAAATTTATTTTGATGAAACTTTTGCAAATATAAGTTTATAACTCATGCAAGTCAAGGGTATTTTAAGTCAGATTCACAATTTGTAACGTTGTTTATTTTGACGACTAGATATAGTAATTATCTTAAGCAAACTTAACGGATAACTGTGAAAGTAACATTTTTATGGTAGAGAAACTCAAAATTTGGCGACGGGAGAATAGATGGGAAAGATAGTACGGATTGGGCAGTAGAAATGATAAAAGACACGAGTCTTATGCACTTATGGTTTAGGCTATTTAATCGACGATACTATACCTAAATATCTTCCCAGTATAGAAAAGATACATCTTAGGAAACCAAGTAGACCTTAGCTCCGTATTTAGAAATAGTATATTCTAAGCGCAAACCTGGTTGTAATATTTAGCTCGACTATCCATCAAAATAAGAAAAAATCTAAAGAAACTCTAAAAAACAAAAATTTAGATAAAAATGTCTTGAAACACAACACCTGAAAAAAAAGCAATACACAAGACGTGTTGATGACCTTATATAAGTAATACCACAAATAAATTAACACTCTAGACTCCAGAGTCACGGTTATATAAAGAAGCAATAGGAGCAGAAAAAACCGAAATAGGAAAAAGTCACAAAACAAAAACATTGATAAGAAAACAAATATAAAACTCATACTAGAGATGAGAAATACACTAAAATATTAAAAAGACCACAGCTCAATGGGAAATTCAGAAACATGTTCTTAATATAAAACGAGAACAACGCAATTTATGTATTATGTATAATATTGCATGTATTTTTATTACTTATCACAGAATACAATATAACAAAAATGTAACACATATTTAAAAGGTGGCCCCGGTTATCCTGAGATTTCTTGTACAATAAAGTGTACCTGAATATATGTGTTTGAGAAACGAATTTATAGGTATGTAAAGAAAACCGAGGTAGGTAGCAAATGGGCAGTGGGAGACTAGCATTGTCACACTGGTATAAGTTCCAGGTAATAGTAACAGAATACACTGCAAAGAAAGAGCTGATAAACGCAACAAAAGCCACATTGAGAAAGTATCCTGGTCAAGCACAAGATAAAATGTAGAATAGATGGACACGCGCTAAAAGGCTTAAAGTGCCGCAGAACACAAGCAGGAATCAGCTCATGATTATAACAGGCTTCCTTACTGGACATATTCCAGTCACGGGATATTTGCATACAGCATGAAGTTGTTTTATATAGACGTAAGCTAAAGACTCTGGGACATATAACAGTTAAACATATTTTGCATGACTGCCAGGTATCTTGGCGGTGACTACAAAGTTATTACAAAAACATTTGGTAGGCATCCACTAAACCTGTACTAGTTGTTACACGGTTCCATAATTTTGGAATGGGTATCATGGATAGATGAAAGATGTAAAATAAACCAATTGGATGCACAACGACTGATCCATAACAGTAATATTCTAAATTTCATATATACTATGTACTTACCAAGTTATACGGTTATATTTACAATAATAATTGTAAGATGTAAGGTAAATAAATAAATAATTTCTCAGCTCGCCATTTATTTAATGCAATGTAGGAAATGAGATAATAGATAAGACAGAAAAAAGCTCGTGGAAGGAATTGGTCGAGTAACTTTTTGAGAAGTGGGACAGTATAGGTTAAATAAAGAATAGGCTTTTGTTATATATAGGTAAACATTCTAAAATTAACGTTTTGTTTTTCTTTGCAAATATATCCACTACTTTATTCGCATTATTTTCTATTCCTTCTACTCCATAGTGAATGTTTATGACAACCAAGCCGTTTAGTCTGTTTTCTGTCGTTGTTATGCAAGTGTTTTTTAAAGTAGGATTAAAAACCCTTGTTTCTGAGTACAGTTTTCTGTCGAAATTAGTTATTATTTCGGTAGCAATTAGAGGTAGGAGTCATGGCTGCTTTCCATACTTCAACTTCTACCTTGAAGAGAAATGTTCTTGTTTCGGGCAGCACTACCGAATAAATACAAAATGCCTCTTCATTTTTACAACAGTTCGCAAAATTTGACGGTAACACACCAGATAGTGCCGATACCACTTTACGGTATTTAGTAAACCTCTCAATCTATTGTTAAATTGTATGGTCGAGAAATCGGTCTTAGAACGATTTAACTGACTTCCGACGATACGTGGCATAAGCAATATACCACCATTTTTTTCGAGGCATACCGTTGCTTCTTCAGAGATGGAGATAGCAGCAATAACATAATCCATGTGGTTGAATGCTGTTATGAGGTATGTGTTAATTTCCTGCAGTTGCTTTAATTGCGACAATGTATAGCTCATGACTTTTGAAGAATCACTAGACACATAACAAAATTCAAAGATCGAAGTTTGGTAAGAATTTGGAGGGCCTGTTGCGAAGTTTATTTATTGTGGCTAGATTTGAGTTCTTCGAGAGCATGAACAATCGCTCTTGTTTTCTTTGAATGAATTTATGAATAAATTTCATTTAATCTTAATAATAACTTTATGATAATAATGACTTTATGCTTGTGAACTCATCGTATGTCGCACATCGCAAGTAGATTTTTTTTATGATCAGCCTGTAACAAATCCCAAATTTTTCCCTTTAAAACGGCAGTACATTGATCCGAAAGTCTAAAGTAGAAACCAACAGACTGCACGATTTCAATGCAATTTCGCACAACTACTTGTAAACATAAGTCAGCAATAGTAAAGTTGATAGAGTGTGCACTACTACGTTCATAGGAAGCAAGAGAACATTTTTGACAAATATACCCTCTGACGCCGTTCAAATATCCACTCATAGCTGCAGCCCTATTGTAACTTTAATCAATAATATAACATTAAAGTCCATGCTTTTTCAGAACTGTAATTATAAGATTTCCGAGACCTGATGCTGTAACGTCAACAATTGAAATACACTCTCAGAACATCTAATCAACTTTATCTTGTTTACCATCTTTTAAATCAACATATCGCAACCATAGCGAGACTTGCTTTCATTACGCGTAATATCCGTCGTATCATCAACGAGAATTGCAAACAATTTAGCTTTGCTAAAACAGCCACATTGTATGTTATTTGACTGGCGCATGCCCTTTGGTAGATCATATTTAGTTTTCACTTAAATTATTATGTAATCTGCAAAGTAAACCATGCTGTCTTGTTCCTTATTCATTTTTATTCCATGAGTGCACTTACATTATTTTATTACTTTCTCCATTAATAAATTTTAAAAAAATGACAGATGCTGTGCGTTACCTATTCCTTTATGCGTTTCTGCTTTTGTTTTTAAGCTATTATTTAAAATTGAGCTATTAGTGTTTTTATGACACTAAAACGGCCCCTTTAAAATATCTATTACATCGTCGCACCCTGTAGAGAGCGTTGGTTAAATCTGTGAAACACTTATATACAGGTATGCTGCATTCTATTGATTTTTCTTCTATTTTTTGAAGAAGAAGAAGAACTTGATGATTGTGGTTAGCACCCATATTTTCTTTAGTTTTATGGTCTGACTTTGTTGGTTCCTTTTAAAGATTAGTATTGGTAGGAATAATTACAAGACCGCAGAGGAATTCAAACCTAATAAAAAGTACGTAAGGTCTCATATCCTGATATTGCATAAAATTTATAAAATATTATGTGGGTTTATCTGCAAAAATGCAAAGAAACCTTTTAATTGGCTAAATATACAAAAAAATTGTTACAGTTACACAAAAAGGAGCTGATAAAATTCTCACTGACTAGATTGCTAAGGATGTAAAGCAAACATTTCCAAAAAACAATCATTGTGTCAATCTGTCAAATATCACATCATAAATTATCACTTTTCAAAATTTAAGTTTATATTACAATAGAATGTATAAGTTTTTATCGCGCCATATCTCCAAATCTCATAGTGCCACTTCCAATTTCACCACTATTTATAGAAAGGTGTCAAAGACACAAAAAAAATCATGTACTGTTCGTAAGAGATCTATGTCAGAAACCAGTGTTAAATCTGAAGTGGAAGCTGACGTGAATGTTGAAAAGAAACCGAATGAATTTGCTTACGAAGTAAAGTCAGGTAAATCTTATTTTTACACTATTACGTTATTATATGTTTATTGTCCTTTCAACTTACTTTTATTTTTTTATCTTTTTTAACCCTTCAAAGTGTCATCACTTACACATTTCAAAGGAGTTTAGTCTTCTAATTAAATTTCAATTCAAAGTCCACGATTCAAGTCTGTATTATAGAACATACTATAATTGCAACATTTTAATAATATTTTTCGGGTAAAATTCTATTTCTTCTGGGTATCTTTAGTGATCTTATAATTGTTTCCATTTTCACTCGTTGCGATATTTTTTTGTTTTTTTTTTCTGCTTAGTCCAGTCCGGTTGTCATTTAACCTTGCATGGCGAGCTGACCCAAATTTAATTGTGAGAGGCCAATAGTAGTGTACTAGGGCGGTCAGATAAGTACTTGGCCTACAAAAGAAAAACGAAAATTTTGGAAAAAGTTGCAATTTATTTCTCCACATACTCTACTTTTAGCTCGATACACTAGACCCAGCGATGACACAACTTCTTTAAACCGTCTGAAAAATATGTTTTCTCGAGGTTGGCAAAGTAAACTTCCGTGGCGACGATGACCTCCTGTTTCGACTTAAGTTTCTGCCCGGCGAGTGCATTTTTCAAATTTGGCAACAAAAAGAAGTCACACGGGGTCAAATCTAGAACATATGTTGGATATGACAACAGTTCCTAGCCCAATTCGACCAGTTTTGCCATGGCAACGTCGGAGCTATGAGCAAGTCCGTTGTCATGCTGGAAAAGCACTTTTTTTCTTCGCTAAATGGGATCAGTTTTCTGCAATTCGGCGTCGAATTGGCCCAATAATTCGGCATAATAGATCCCTGTGACCGTTTTGCCATCATCCAGGTTGTTGACGTAGATCACCTGTTTTCATTGCCAGAAAATGGTGGTTAAGCACTGCTCTGAAGTGGTCTCACGCTCATGCATTGTCCGGAATAAGCAAACGCGGCAGTCATCGCGCCAACAGCTTTCTCATATCCAAAATTTCACGCAAGATATGAGATACTCGGTTTTTGGGATACCTACTGTTTAAATTCAAGTATGGTCGCATAAATTAATCAATACATTTGTCCTCCCCCTGTATTCCTACGATCCCTATTGGTACCGCTCGGGAATGCATCCCGCTAAGACACAAGAGCAACCAGACAGAGTAAGTCGTTGAGAAGAAAAGACGCAACCCTCCGCTAGTGCATCGATGCATTAATATTGAAGTCGTTTTGTTCTTTATTTTTTATAGTGGTGAATCATGATAATTAGCGGTACGGTAAGTTCACCTAGTTTTACCTAAACCTTTGTATTGTTTTTTGATTGTTAATTGCAACCATTTAAATTTAGATATTTGCTATTTGCACCTATGAGTTAAAGTTCATTTATCTTGCCAGAGCTATCGAAGGAATAGTTCCTAATAATTTAATTACTATTAATTCGTAATAGTACATTATCTTGTTAACCCCCTACACGTACTGTCTCAGCTATCTCGGGTACCTTCAGTCGGCGGTCTGACAGTATGAGATCGTGGACTTATGTCTCATTAGCATCCGTGGTAGCAGATTTCGGAGCACCTCAGCGTGGCTCATCCAAAACTGGAGTGCGATCATGTTGAAACTCGTTAAATAAATAAATAATAATAAATTTTTGAGGGTTACCATCGAAAGAGAAGAGTAACCGCCACATCATATAAGCACTCTATGATTTCGCTTCGAGATTTTCCTTGCAAAAACAAGAATCGAATCACCGACCGATATTGCTGTTTTTCCATTTTTCTACAATTCGCGGACACGACCGCTTTAATTTGAAACCACTTGGGCCGTCCCTGTAATCTATTTAAATATTCCAAATAAAACCTCTTCCAAAAGTGCTGGTAAAGCTGAGTAAAGCATTGAAAGAGTCTTAGTCTATTGTCAGGTATGTAAGTGATTCCTTGTTCAGGATAAAAAGTGAGTGTAGAACCTATAAGAAAATATCCCGGAGACTATGAGGCGGTATCCACTTCCATTTTATTAGATTTTTTCTGAGGCAGTTTTGAGCAACTTTTGAATTGAAGTAGAATTTTTAGAGGTTTTGAGAAAGTCATAGAGTTAACGAAGACAGTTATTAGCACCAGTAAAATTGGTACCGTTATTGCTAAATATAACAGAGAGGTTCCCTCTACGAGCAATAAAACGTTTTAGTGCTAGTAAAAAGGAGTCACTAGAGAAAGAGGATACGAGAATATGGACAGCTTTTTTACTTATACAGATAAAGAGTGCCACATAACATTTTGTGAGAGAGACCTTACGAAGGCAAGATGTTTTTATCATAAGTGGTCCACCATATTCAGTCCCAACATTTTGAAAGGGGCGTGAGGTCGAAACTTTTTCCTTTGGTAAATCGGACATGATTTGCTGTGCAGGTTATGCGCGAAATCTAAACCAAGTAGAGCAATTTCGAACAATTTTCTTAATTTGGCCTGAGGCCATTCAAGGGCCAAAGTCTTTGTCTGTCGTTGGAAAGTAAGGCTTGTGGTTCGACATGATCAAGTCTAGTATGTTCGTGTGAAAGCAGTAGAGTGACTACGTGTTTTTATTTAACACTGATTTGCTATTTTGGATTTCAGAGATTTCTGAACTAAAGTGTTGGTGTTAAAAAATTTTACAAATTGAGTTAGTGGACGTTAGGAGTTCATTTACAGATAGTAGACCAGTAAGAGTTTTAGTGGGAAATCTTGAATTGTGAATAAATCTGTGAACATATGTTATTGCGTGCACTAACTAGTCTAGAAAATTTAGAAAATCGCAGAAATATTTTATGCCAAAAATTTTCTTCGGTAGGTTTAGTGGTAAGAAGTGAGATTTTTCTCTCTTTTGGTAAGTTGCATTCATTAATGTTTTCATAAAATTGAGCGAGATTTAGATTGGGGTCTTGCAGAAATGAAGGACCTGACCACCATAAATCTAATTTTGAAATGTTTTGGGGCTAGTAATACTCGAGATGGGGAGTCGGCAGCATTTTCTGCAGTTTTTATGTGGCTCCAGTGAAAGGCATTTGTCAATTCAGTGATTTGAGCAACTCGATTGGAAACAAAAGTATTCCAGAGGGATGCGTGAGATTGTATCGACGATAGTGCTATCCTTGAATCGCTTTACAAATTGACACTATAATTGATATGATTCTTTTGGTGAGTTTTAAGAGGAGTAACATGGCACAGAGTTCAAGTCTAGGTAGGGTAGTTGTCCTGATAGGGTTTACCCGAGATTGTCTCGTAACCAGTATGCAGGAAACTGTTATCAGAGTATACGGTACGAAAGTAAATGAATGCTGCATAAACCTTTTCGCTGCTGTCAGCAAAGCCATGATGTGTGCGATTTTCTTATAAAGAAATAGATAGCGTTGAATTTTTAAAGACTAGGTATGTTAGGTATGTTATTTAGAAAGGTTGTCCATTCTTTTTCCAAAGAGGGAGGCAACATATCGTCCCAGTTCATTCGTTTGAGGAAAAGTTTCTTAATGAATAATAACTTTCCATGTAGAATCACAGGAGTTATCAACCCTAAGGGGCCATACATTTTAGCTAGAGTGGATAAGACAATTCTTTTTGTAACGTGAGAGTCAGTTAGGGCTTCAGGTACTGAAATTGAGAGTGTGTCTGGTGAAGGGTTCCATGAAATTCGCTAAAACTTTATTATGGGCATTTTCGATTTGGATATCATATGAAGTGGGTTGATCATTGTTATAATATTTTTCAGTGAACCTTGTGGAATTGGAAACCCATTTATGAGTTGAAATGCAAGCACTGTCTAAAACGTTAATTAATTCGTGATATGTGGTTTCTACGTCAGTTTCAGTTTCAGCACCACAGAAGATGTCGTCTACGTAAGTTTGTGTAAGTTGGGCTTCACAAACGAGGGGGTATTTTTACATATTAGTGGATGCAAGCTCTTTTATAGGCCGAGTAGATAAGAGACTTAAATATCTGTTGCCGTAAGTTACGCTAGTAAATTCAATGCATTCTAGTGGTTTAGAGGGATCATCTCTCCACAGTATATTTTACAGTAAAGTTTGATTTGGGTTGATATTTGACAGTACATTTTTTAAATATCAGCGGTGCAAACAAATTGGGGTATTCTAAAACGGCAAAGAATGTCAAATAGATTAGGTTATACCTGTGGATATGTGAGCATAATATTATTAAAATAGGTTTCAGACGATCCATCAAAAACAACGCGAAATATAGTGCTGGTACTGCTTTCGGATATAACATTAGAAGTTTGACTAAATAAGGATACTAATCTTACAATGCCATCGGTAATAAGTTAGTAGTATTTGTCAGCACCTATTAAAATGTCAATACTTGAAGTTGAGAAGAATTCATTGTCGGGTAATGAAATGTGTAGTATTTCGAGCAATTCTAGGGGTAGGTGCGTCTGCGGTAGTGGGGTAGTTAGTCTATCGAGTACGTAACAAGACATGTTAAGTCTATTGCTTTTATTATTAGTCGAGAAAATTGTACGGTTTGCCATTATGTTAGACATGATTGAGTTTTGGGCAATTCCAGAAATTTGAAGTGGTTGTTGGTGGGTGTTACAGCTAATTTGTTCGAAAAGATTCCTTGATATAAAGCTACTTTGACTAGCATTATCGAGAAGTGCCTTGGCTGTTATCATATTTCCTGATTTTAATTGAATAGTTATTTTAATTATTGCTAATAGAACATTACAAGGTTTAGCGGATAATGTTAGGTCGCCTTTGGTATCTAGAGATACCGATGTGACAGACTCGGGGTGAATGTTATTGCCAGAGAAGGATGGCATGTCGTCGAATTCTGTATGGTTTTTATTAGAATTTAAATTAGGGTTTGATTGTTCTTGAGTTTGACGATAATTATGTTTTCTGGAATTGACATCAGAATGTGTTTGATTTGAATTGGTTCTCCAAGTATGTTGATTGCCTTGAGAATAGGTAGTTCTTTGGCCTTGAGATGTGCCTGAATTGTGAGATGGATGCGAA